TTTTTTGCTGGTTCTTTAAATAGCAGAAATTATCTTATAATTATTGTACAATTATTTTTGAAAATAATTCTGATATAATGGTTGATGTTAAAAAATTATTTTCTCTGTCTGATCCTGACCCTATTATGGTCTTTATTATAATTTCAGGACTAATCCACAGCTCCCCCCTCTTTCAGTGGAGGCTCAATGAGTCCCTTCTCACAACTCAAGACACATGCCTTGAAATTCATTCCCACTTTTGTAAACTTTGTTTACTGAAAATTTTGGCTCCATATCTTCTGAAATTTTTCTGCTGCTGAGCTATTGTATTCTGACAGCAGGGAGACTTCCCTGCTGTCAGAATACACTGATCTGTACTGCCAACTATAGCTAGCGGTGCTGATTGAGAGTACATTTTCCAGCAGACTGATTCTACACAAGTCAATGCCCATACATGGATTGAAATTCAGCCAGTCCCTGCTGCACCAGTCAACTTTCAATCCATGTATGGACAACTTAAAACTGCACATAAAATAACAAAATAATCTATTTCAAAGACAAAAAGGTACAATAAAAATTGGAAGCTCAGAAAACACATGGTTGATTATGATCTAAGGTTTGTTTATTTTAATAATTGTATTAATTGGAAAAAAAAGTATATCATAAAATGTAACCTTTGAAAACAGCCTGTGGGCTAGCCATTTATCTTTTCTACATAAAAGAGTGAACATTATAATTGTTTATTGCATAGCTTACTAAAAACAGTAAACATGTCAAATTTCCATCGTTTTCAGCAAAATAAAATATATATCCAAAATTTCATTTTTTTTTTTTTAAGCCAGGTTCTTTTTTGATGTCTTCCTTTTAGCAGACTTACATGGTAACAAAGTAAATTATAATCTTAAATAATATCTTGAAGTTCATGTCTCAATTTGGTTTGTTGTCTAATATGCTAAAAGTAGTAGAGAAAATCTGCCAATTCTCTCTCTGTATGGTAAGTGATAAGCAACAAACCTATTTTTTCTTCTGATAAAGAGGATATTTCAGGGTCTACATGTTGTCATTTTGTTACCCTTCTTTGTTCCTTCTGAAGTATTCAATTACATTTCTTATCTTTATTTCCAGACATTAAAACTATACAGTGCTAGAAAAAAGTGGCTTTTAAATCTGCCGTCTTGAAAGCTAGATGCCAAGAGAAGCTACTTAAAAAATAGCTTGAAGCAGAACTGACTGAATTGGCTGGCCAAATAGAAAATTATTTTACAGGACAGCACTGCGGGTGTTGCATCCTTTGATTCATAATTTTTTTTCCTTATTTGTTCCCCTAATAGTCTTATGCTTCTTCCTCAAAGTTGGCTGGAGGGCTCCTTTCTATGTGGGTGTTAACAGTTCATATCTAAAAATATGACGCTCCCATTTAATCCTTGGTAGATTTTAAGTCAGCAACAGTGACAGGTCACATTATATTCTCTGTAGCTAGGAATAGCTCAGTGGTGTGCTGTGGTAGATATTGAATCCCAAGGCTACAAATTTTTAATTTTTCCAAGGGCCAATCCACACAGTAAGGTTACCCATAGGAGGAGTCAAACTGCTACACAATCCAAATTGCAAAGCAAATGTGCAACAACATGATTATGTTTGCACTGGAACACATCATAGTAGATGAACGCTAAACATCTGAACTTAAAAAAAATTCCTTTTCACTTTAAGTATGGGAAGTTTGTCAGCATATACTTGTTTGATAAAACAGTGATCTTGTGGGGGGTATTCAGAACACAATGGTGATGTGGCAGTACGAGGAACTGCTGAGCCAACAGGGGAACAGGAGATTAAAGCCAGCCATGCATGGAATAAAATTAGGCTGGGTCAACACTGGTTCAGCCAAATTTTGATCCATGTATGGGCAGGCTGATTGTACTGATGTTGATCTACTGATTGACTTCTTTACAACCAGCCTATGGGATTTTTCCCAATAATCCAGGGCTGCTGGCTACGCATATACACTCTTTTTCTACCGGGCTTGTGAATACATATGTAGATAGGGGTGTCATACTTGTTAATTACTTATGCAGGCAATGCTTCCTGTTTAGTAGTGCTGTATATGGGTTGTACTTTGCGGTTCTCTGTCCCTGAAGACTATCAGTCTGGTTCTACTCATCAAAAACAACATTCTCACTATATAGCTTAAAATGTAATTCATTTATCTTTGAAATGTTTCAATATGATTGCTGTTCCCTAATATACATACACTAGAGGTAGAAAAAAACAATATTGAAAAGGTGCTTTGAGAACATGTAACAACAATAAGTTAAAAATGTTAACAAAATCAAAGTACAGTATGTTAAGGGAAATGTCACAAAAACTACTCTAAATGTGCAGCACTAGAAAATACACTAAAGTTTTACTTTAAAACTAAAAAGAGAGGTGAGAGGGGAGAGAAAACAATTCTCTGTACCTACACTTTAACCAGGGGTGGACTGACCATTCGAGCACTTGGGCACTGCCCAAGGGCCTGGGGTCAGTAGGGGGGCCCATGAAATGCCCCATGTACCTTTTTTATAGGCTTTTTTGAGTGTGGGCAAGGACACAGGGGCCCCATGATCCCCTATTGCCCGGGGGCCCCATGAGTTGTCAGTCCGCCCCTGACTTTAACCCTTTCGAGTTATTGCAACATGCTTGCACATAGTGATCCCTCCTGATTCTTTTTGCCCCTTTAGTAAGGACCAAAGGGAGGCAGATTGCCTATGGCAAAGCAGTGATTTTGCAGCATTGCTGTGTCAGGTGATGTCACACGATGGCCATCTTCAGATTGGAGTCGAATGTGCAGCTCTCAACCTCTTTAGGGCTTGTAAAGATAAGCTTAGTTATCCAGGTTTCTTATATGAAAATAAACTGTGTAGGATTGATGAGCATTCACAGATTGTGTTTTAGTGGCTTTGCTTGCATTTCAGTAGATGCAGCCTGCCGCCCCAAAGAGACCACAATATCAGTTTCAATGCACCAAGCGCATAAGTTTGAACCATACTGAATTTGAATGCAAAAATACTGTGCTTAAACTCAAAGCTCATCTATATGGATCTTTACTGTGAATATTGCTGTTGGTAGCAGCCTGATAATAAGAGAACAGATTGAGAGTGCACATGAGTACCCTTCAGCACCTAGTCCCAAGGCTCTGTGTCTTGAAAAAAAATAAGGTACATAGACCTTTTCCCTGGTGAAGTAATGCACAGTCATTTAGGGAGTAGATGTAATTCCCTTAGTCATTAGGGGGTTAAATATGATATTGAAATAGTAGCTATGGGTTAATACACAACATTACTTTCTGAATTGCTATAAAAACAATGAGTATAGCATAAGATGCACCAAAGCTTAATGCATATAGCATTCAGGGACTAGCTAAATATGAGATGTTTATTAGTGAGATCAGTCATTTTTGTAGTTAAGAGGTGCTCTACATTTGTCCATCCCATAATGAACATATTTAGCTGCATTGCCTCTACAATTTCTGTTATCTAGTGTATGAAACAGAATCTATCATATTAGAATTTAATATATGCCTAGCATAAATATAATATGCATGCAAATATATACCGCCAAGGGACTACACCAAATCTAGAAGTAGCTCACTTTACATTGCCATTACGTGAATATGATAGGACCATCTACATATCAACGTATATTTTTTAACAACCTATACATGAATGCTGCTGAAATACAACAATCTGCTTTGTGGATTTTCAGCAAATAATGGTATTTGTAGCTGTAGTACAATAACAGCATGTCAAGCATTGTCTAACTGAATGACACTAATCCATACACAGAATGGTATAGCTCGCAGAGCTTATGAACAGAACCTGCTGCTTTTACCTGCTGATAACAGTTTTAGACGTACAGAGTCTGCCATTACCTTGGGAAGGCAGTCCTGTTAAATGGCAAAGCATGTGGCTTTATATTGACTGTTTCAAAAATTACTATTTTTAATAACGCCAGTGGCTATTTTTCTGGTATTTTGTCATCTGATATTATACAGATAAACAACACCTTCTCTTATCATGCCTTTCTGTAATCTTTATTTCATTTTATTCATTCTTTATTCATTCATATACATTTGTTCATTTATATAAAGTCTGGTTGTCCTTTGTAGGCCATTAGCAGCAGTCTAGCCTTCCCCTTAGCTGGTCAAGAAAATAATGCATAAAAAAATATTAATAACCACAGTGTAATCTGCATTGCCTACTTTGTAAAGCAAGTAAAATATGTAAAAGTAGTACCTGTGCTATATTAAATTACTGACAGCTGACCTATCTCTCATCAAGTTGGTGTGTCTCATCAACTCTGTGGACTCAAACATTGAAAATCTTTATTGGCTACACAAGTCCATCCAGTAAACAATGCTAAAATGCTTCACATCCCTCCCACAAGCACTGGTGTTTAGCCTTGGATAGCATCACCAGCAGTTGAGCTTGGGTATTGTATTCAGTGATTCTTTGTTTAATTAAACCCCTTGCCTACCGGGCACTTATACCCCCTTCCTGCCCAGGCCAATTTTCAGCTTTCAGCGCTCTCACACTTTGAATGTCAATTGCACGGTCATGCAACACTGTACCCATATGATACTTTTAACATTTTTTGAGACAGATAGAGCTTTCTTTTGGTGGTATTTAATCACCTCTGGGCTTTTTATTTTTTGCTAAACAAACCAAAAACCACTGAAAATTTTGAAAAAAAAAAGTTTTTTTCTTAGTTTTTGTTATAACATTTTGTAAATAAGTAATTTTTCTCCTTCACTGATGTGGGCTAATAAGGCTTCAGTGATGGGCACTGATAGGCTGCACTGATGGGCACTGATGAGGAGGCACTGGTAGGTGGCACTGATGGGCATTGACAGGCATCAGTGATGGGCACTTAAAGGCAGCACTCATATGGCACTGATAGGTGGCACTGATATGCGGAACTGACTGGCACTGTTAGGTGGCACTGACTGGCACTGTTAGGTGGCACTTACAGGTACTGATAGGAGGCACTGATGCGCACTGAGAGGCGGCATTGACTGGCACTGATAGGTGGCACTGATAGGTGGAACTGACTGGCACTGATAGGTGACACTGAAAGGCAGCTCAGATGGGCACTGATTTGTGGCATTGATGTGCACTGGTAGGCACTGATATGTGGCACTGGCAGGTGGCATTGATGAACACTGACAGCTGGCATTGATGGACACTGACAGGTGGCACTGCTGGAGCTACACTGATCATCAGGGCACACTGGTCATCGGTGCCCTGATGATCAGTGTACATGTCCCCTCTGAGTAATGCAGATTACCAGCTCTTCACTCCTCACGAGCTGTCAGCGTGACAGCACGTGAGGAGAGAAATGCCGATAACCGGCATTTCCCTATTTACATGTGATCAGCTGTGATTGGACACAGCTGATCACATAACAGAGCCAAGGTCTTCGGCTCTTTCCATTGATCGGTGATTCGCTGTGTCCGAGGGACACAGCGCACCACCAATCGCCATGCTGCCCGCCCCCAGAGCCACGCACGCGCGGTTAGAGTGGGTGGACGTCATATGACGTCCTCCCAAAATGAGAGAACCGCCTTGCGCCCGTCATTTCCTTATATGGCGGGCAGGAGGAGGTTAAAGGATTTTCAAGCAAAATTTCACTTTTCATAATAAATAGAAGCATTTTCCAATGCTATTTCTGGCTGAGCCATCCCAATGTGCTTTTCTCTCACCTCATCCACAGGACATTACATTTTGTTTTAGTTTCTGTGAGATTCTGAACAGATTTTCAGATTGCACAATTTCCTGAAAATAGATGGTCTCTCAGCATTCACTTCCTGAATGACAGAAGAGGGTGTGATAGGGTGTGTTCACCACTCTGGACCACACCTCCCTCATTATAATATTACCTTCCTCCCATTAGCTATGTAGTACAAGGGCCTGTCTGATTTGTAATTACATGTTAAAGGCACCCCAAGTGCGGCAAACACACCAAAACATTAGTAACGCACCAATTCAATTGATATCAATTGAAAAGATTGTTCAGGTGTGCCCTCCTATTACATAGTTCTGGTAAATCTAAAGGAAATTGGACAGAGTCAGGACACTCAGTTGTCAGGCCCCATTCACATTCCCACGTAGTGAAGACTCACATTCCCACGTTTGTTCTGGGTGTTTTGGTGGGATTTCACTCGTCATGCATAAGGCAGCTATAACGGTCTGCTATACATGCAACAATTTCCCCAGAAAATCTCCAGAACTTTTCTTGGAGCGGAACGCGATGCGTTACTGAAGTTTTTGGTGCATTGCTGCAGTTGCGGTTCTTTTAACATATAGTGACAGCAAAAACACGATGCACATTTGCAGCGTGTTTCTGGAACGCATGGCAAAGCGTGCATTTTCTGTACAGATTGCCATGCATTTGGAAACACAAAGATGTGAATGAAGCCTCTTTGTTCTGTGTAAACGTGCCAATTTCACTTTCAGGCCCCCTTTACATCGAGAGTAGAGACAGCGTATGTTTTTTGGTTCCTTTTTCCAGTGACACACAATGGGCAGCCCGTTGATTCCAATGGGCTGCACTACATGTGGCAAAGTAGCTCATGGAACATTTTGACGTGATGCGCGTTGCACATTTTTTACTGTGTGTTTTGCTGCATTTGTCACCCATTTTTTCATGTGGCAAAATGTGTGCTTGTTTCTGTGTTTGGTGTGCCGTTACCAAGTAATGACACTGAAAGCTCAGCTAGTTAATTTTAGGTGTATAAATGTGGCCATACACTATACAATCTGATTGTACAATCTCTATAGAATCTCATTTAGATTTACCAAAACTATATAATAGGAGAACACAGCATCTATCCAATCACTCTATATCCAATCAAGCAGGCCCTTGCATAACATCAGGGGTGTCCCGTGGGCTGCATGCAGCCTGCACCCGACTGAAGGAACGCTGGGGTAGCCAGGCAAATGCACATGGGGAGAGATTCCATGGATGCTGTGAAGAACATAATTGATGGGTGAAGGGTGTATATTGTATACTAAAGAGGTTAGTGCAGGATATGTGTGCTAATGAGATCAGCTGGTAATCTGTTTCCGGGGTCCTACTGGCTCTTCTGTGTTCTGTCTACATTCCAGGAATTGAAAAAACTTTCTAAGAAATTTACTAAGGGCTAAGGTAAAGCCTTGTTCCCCAGATCTAAGAGAGCTTGAATCTTTTTACAACTGATGTATGTTAATGGTATACTATTGCATAGGGGAGCTGGATTTTATAAAAAAAAAGTGAACTTAGCCTTTAAGAGGCTCCGATGTTTGGAATCCACTATCATCACCATGATATCAGTGCAGTATCTCCAAAACTGCTCAACACTCTTTATCCTACCTCCGTGATTCCGCAGGTACTGGACAAGTGGGAGAAGTCTTGCTTTGTCCCACTGCACAGGAGACACCAGCAATTCACCAGAATTGGCAGGAGAAATTGCCAGTGCCAATAGCACTAATATGGCTATCCAGACCGAGTCGACGGAATCTGAACAGCAAGACTCTGCAAACCTGAGCGGCCATGCAGACTATATCAAGAGACACCTCAATTCCAAAACAGACCATCTACAATCTGATATCAGACTGATCATATTGGAATGTTTTTAAAGACCACATTACTGAAGTAGAACAGCGCGTCTCCTTCCCAGAGGACAGTGAGACTACACGGCTGATCTCCATACCTTGAAAACAAAAGTGTGCTTCCTGGAGTCTCAGGCAGAGGATGCCGAGAATCAAAATCGTTGAAACAATTTACACATTTTTGGTCTTCCAGAGGGATCGGGGGGCCTGACTCCACATCCTTTACAGAAATCCTGTTAACAACTCTGCTCCCATGTGCAAAGTTCTCTTCATACAATAGAACAAGCCCACCATATACCAACCTCTAAAGGGCCTCCTGGTGCTCCACCTCACACCTTCCTCTTTAAACGTCTTATATCAGGGATTGAGATTTGATCCTCTGTGAAGCACTGTCAAGGTGACCTGCTCTATGAGAACATTGCATTTCACTTTTTTCCTGATCAATTCCTGATTACTCTGTAGAGACTCAATGTCAAAGGACATAATTTGATGCCATCAGAGCTAAATTGAGGGCAATAGGGGTGAAATACAGAATGCTCTTTCCTGCCAGGCTCCAAGTACAGGAATGGGAGATTGATGCTCACTGTTTGCAAATATTGATGCTCACTTCATTTTATACTTTCCTTTCTTGTTCTTTATATAATGTATATGTTTGCACTGCTATACCTTTCAGAAATGTAGGCTTCCACCTGCATAGCTATGACTACTTGTGAGCTTTCTGAATATCGAGCCTTTGTCGCTCTAATTCTGCTTATCTCCCCTTCTTAAAGCGGAGTTCCACTCACTCTGTAAAAAAAAAAATAAAAGTCAGCAGCTACAAAAACTGTAGCTGCTGACATTTAAAAAACAGCCACTCACCTGTCCCACGATCCCGCGTTGCCCCCGCCGCAGCCCATTTCACCTGCCGTCCTGTATTCCAGGCGCCGGCATCTTCAGTGTGGGCATCCGGCTGTGACAGCTTGCGGCTTCACAGCCAGGTGCCCACTGTGCATGCACGAGTAGTGCTGCGCTTCCTGAATAGCTACGTCATCTTCTGGGACCTGTCAAGACTTCGGGGAGGGAGGGTAGGAGGACAACTTACATTTCCGATCGCCTAGGCGATCGCAGCGGAAGTGGGAGCGGGTACCTGTCAAATTCCGGGTACCTGTTCCTCCGCTCGCCAATCCTTAATGGGGGAGCGGGGAACCAATCTTTAAAGTGGAACTTCCCTTTTTGGAAGGAACTCTGCTTTAAGGACATTGTTACTATAGGTCTATGTGGACTTTCTGTTGTGCCGCCGATTGCTGCCTCTCCGCGCCCCTACCGCCCATGAGTTTTCCCAGTCTCCGCTTGCTCATGTGCGTGCCCGGCTCGCCGTTGGCTACAGGAGAGGTAGAAGAGCGGACAAGTCTGCTCCCCTCCCCTTCTTGTGCTGACCCGGAAGTAACGTTATGATGTCACTTCCGAATCCCCATTGAGAGATTGTAATGCAATCCCCAGGAAAGAACACAATGCGGTGCGATTTGCACCGCATTACATTCAGTGGAGCAGTGCGGAGACATTCAGGGTGTCTCAAAGAGAACCTGTCACCAAAAATCATCACATAGGGGATGAAAAAAAAAAAAGTTAAAACATTTTTTTTTTTTTTGTAAAAAATGGAAGTTACACCCAAGCACATAGCATCCCCCCCCAAAAAAAAAATTGAGGCCCCCACCCCCAGATATACGTATGCACAAATGTAAAAGCTTACACATGAAACCGTCGATTGCGATACACATGTCACATATCACCACGCATGCCAGAATGAGAGCATTAATTCTAGCACCAGACCTGCTCTGTACCGCTAAACCTATGACCTATAAGGAGCTTTAAAAGTGTCAACCCATAGAAAATGTAGGGTACTGAAGTTCATCGCCATTTCACGAGCGCGCACAAATTTAAGGTTTGACAAGTTGGATATCTATTTACTCACTGTAACCTCGTATTTTATATTTTACAAAAAAAAAGAGTAATTTATTGCTTTTTTGTGCCCTAAAATTAAATTGTGTGTATATTTTACTAAAGGTTTGCAGTAAAATCATGCGATTTATGTAATCTTTAGGCCTAAAATTATTTTTTAAATGTGTGCAAAAAATGCCAAAAGGGCTCTGGCAGCGAAAGGGTAAAGTATAAGCCCTGACCCACCCTTTCCCGACGAGCAGCAAAACGTTGTTCATCACACTGCAAGGTCTCTCTCCTTCCTGCTAGTCCCCGAGTGCAATACTGGAGTTAGGCAGGAAGGGGAGGACAAGCAAAACAGCGCAATTTTAAAGTTATTACACGTTTAAGCCGCCTATTTTGTTTTTAAAAGCCCCAGACATTCCTAAAATCACGTCCGATTTAAATACGGTTTTGCTTAAAAAAAGTATCTGGACAAGTAGATTGTCATGAGGGACAAGTAGATTGGGGCCTTGATTTAGCCCCTGGACAATTTGTTTTTTCAAGAATTTCCACACCCTTGACTTTATATTTTGCAACCAGTATTCTGGGATCTGTTTATGTTGCTACATCCAGGTCTCTTCACTCACCAGCCACTAATCAGAATGTTTTCTTATAATATTATCTCATGGAACAGAAGAGGCCTAAATACTTTTTAGTCTTTCAGTTTATACATATTATAATCCTTATATCTGCCTACTCCAAGATATACACTCTTGCAGAGCATTACAGTTTTTAGCCCTAACAAAATCTGAGTAGGCCACCAATACCACTCTACTTACTTCAATTACTCTAGGAGAGTTAGAATATTGATTAAAATCTCTTCCGATTTGGTTGATGGACCTTGTGTTGGACCAGGATGGCCACTATATTGTGCAGCATGCCATA